AGGAAAAGACCACAGGACACCTAGTGTGGGTTGGATGGTGTCCCCAAAGGATAGGCTGACCTCTAACCAGTGTGCCGCTGCCCTGCCAGGAGAGGGGAGAGAGAGAGAGAGAGAGAGAGAGAGAGAGAGACAGACAGACACAGGGACAGGCCATGTGACAATGGGGGTTATGATGCCACAGGCAATGAAGGCCAAGGACGGCTAGGAAAGACTGTCCCTCATTGCTGCCAGACCTCTATCCTCCTGAACGAGAAGACAACACACTGCTGTCTCATGTCGCCAAGTCTGAGGCCCTCGCTACATCAGCCCTGGCAAAGGAACCCAGCATCGGAGCAGGCACCCACAGAGCACCTGGAGGAAGGGCCAGGGCCAGGGCCAGGGCCTCTCCAGTGAGCTGACATCCGGGCCTGCCCATCTGGAACCCTGAGTGGGAGCTGTAGAGAAGAGCAGGGCAGTGGATTCTGGGAAGAGTGTCGAAGCAGCCAGTGACCTGGAAGGAAAGGCCCAGGACAGGGAGCGAGGTACTCACTTCTGCAGCACCGCCTGCCACTCGCCAAGCCGGGCACTGATGGGGAAGCAGTGGACGGTGCCCTGCACCTTGGCACGCCACTCCCGCATGTAGTCCTCGATGTCAAACAGGAAGGGCTGCTGCCCGAAGTTGGCGTCCACAATCTCCCCGGGTGTCTGCAGGCCGACGGTGGGATACAGGTTGGCCTGAGGAAGGAAAGGAAGTGTCAGTCAGGTCCAAGGGCAAGGAGGCTCCAGGGCCAGGGCCAGGGCCAGGATGGCACCTCTCAAGGCTGAGGAGGGAAGGGGTTGGCTGCCAGCCCCGGTCTCAGACTCTGAGAGGCACAGCTAGGGCTGGAGCGGGCAGGACAGGCCATGCTTGGCCCCCCAACCAGAAACAACACCCCTTGAAGCTCGACAGGAGAGAGCAACAGAAGAGCAAGCTTCAACAGGGGCGGGAGATCCCTGTCCTGCCCCAGACACTGTGGTTGGTGTCCCTGAGGCCTGAGACCCTCTCCAGAAGGCTGCCAGGGCTCCCCAGCCTGCAAGTGAGCCCAGAAGACCTGCTGCAGCATGGGTGTGGGCGTGGAGTGGGCATTTCCTCTCAGAGTCAGAACTCAGGGCCCCTTTCACTGAGAAAGACGGGTGGGGATGGAGGGGAGGGGAGCAGCTTTGGAAGACTAGACAGTGGCTGCCCTTCCTGCATCTGTCTGTACTCAGTGAAAGGAGGCAGGCTCAGCCAGTGAACTGAGTGGCAGGCAGGCATGGGGCCCCTGCTACGGCCACCTCTTCTGAAGCCAGCTTGTGCCAGGCCACACATGGCTCATTATCTCCTGTGCCCCACATGCCCCTCTAACCTCTCACCCCATCACACTGCCCTGAGGGCCCGCATGCCCTTCCTGCGCCCTGGGCTCAGATCCCGAGAGAACCTGGCTTCCTTCCTTGCCCTCCCAGCTCCCATCCCCCTCCATGCCCACCCCTGCCAGCCGCCACCCCCCCTCGCTGACCCTGTCACTTCCCACGAAGCAGGGTGCTCGTGTGTTCTGAGCACCTGGGGGGGCTCCACAACGCTCACACCCAGGGTTGGTGGATTCTCTCCTCTGTGAGGAGGGTCTCGAGGTAGGAGAGAAGATGGGACCCGCAGACCAGATAATCCACCAGAGCCCTGGGTGCTGCCATCAGGTCCCAAGGGTATTTTGTGAGGATCCCAAAGCACTCCCCCTTTCTCCCTACCCCAGGCAACAAACCTCCCCTCCTTCCAGAACCCAGGCCAGGCTCCCAGCAAGCTGGGTAGGGGCTCTCCCTGCAGGGGAGAGCTCAGAACAAAGGGGGCAGGGCCGGCTGGCCTTAGGACTGAACTCTGAGAGCTTAGTCAGGAGCGTGCGTTCTTTACCAGAAGAGAGAAGCACAGAGCTCACTGCTCTGGCCTGAGGGGAGAGTTGGGGCAGATGCCACTCTCCAGGGCACCCACTCTCTCCGGGAGTCTCCAGTGAGCCCGTCCACCGGCTGTAAGTCACACAGAGCGACCCCTACCCACCCAAACTACTGTCACCTGCCACGAGTTTTAGAGGAAGACCCAGCCCTGCCCCTGGAGGGGGGATGGGGGAGGGGGCAGGCAGCGGACAGCCCCACACCCTCGAGCTGAAAGCGCACCTTCTGGTTTGGGGACAGGCGGGTCAGGCCCACCACTTACCGGGAGGTCGGTGAAGGCTATACCTGTGGAGGAAAGAGCAGTTGTCAGAGGGGGCAGGGCAGCCCCTGGTGGGGGTGGGAGCCAACCAGGCCTGTCCAGGGCCTGGCAGCTTCACCCCTGGTCTTCCCGTGACCGGTGGTCCAGCGGCAGCCGGTCTTGCACGCGCTCTGGGGAGCCGGCCGAGGACTACACTGAAGGATCCGCCAAGGCCCCTCCAGGCCGGGGGTTCTTCTGATGGACGTGTACTGGGTGCAGCCTCACCACAGGCACCAGGCCCCTCCCTGCATGACCTCATACGGCAGCTCTGGAGACGGGCTCTCCATGCTCTCTGGCAGATGAGGAAAGGAGGCTTCCTGACTTGCCAGCGGCCATACATTTTGGGATGCTCTGGGCTCGCTCCTGGTTGGACGCCCGACAGCACCTCGAAGCCGACAGAGCGGCGGAGACGGGGAGTGTGGTGGCAGCCTGCCCAGAGCACACCCACCCAGGGACCTAAGAGCCTCACGGAGGCAAGGCCGGGTCAGGGTCGCTGGTGTCAGCCCAGGGTCCTCCCCAGAGGAGAAGCAGTTGCCTTTCGGGGGCGTCAGGCCTGAGTTGAAGAGACAGGGGAGGAGGGGGATGGACGGACTCCCAGTCCGTGAGCAAGCCTGACAGGAGAGGGGGCTCAGAGAGGCTCTACCAGAAAACCCATACTCTATAGGCTAGCAACGGAGCCCTCCCCCCAACCACCACCACCAGGAGTCAGAGCTGCACCCCCTTTGTTCCCAGTTCATCCGAGGGGGTCCCAGTCTAAGAAACAGGCTGCCCTGAACCCTCACGCGTCAAGGAAGGAAGCCGGAGGCGCTCTGAGCACTGCAGCACATGCCACAGCACTGGGACTGCTGGACTCCTGGGCAGGGGCCGGGCTTGCCCAGCGGTCTGCCGGCAGAGACCTGTTCTGCCCCCACTGCCCTGGACAAGGCCTCGTTGCTGCCTGTGAGCCAGTGGGAGGGCAGGATGGAGGGTGGCCCGCCGGAGAAAGGCCAGGATGCCAACAGGATCGCCACGCTGGCTGATAACAAGCGCCCTGGGCTTGCGACCTAGGTCAGGGGTCACTAGGCTGGAAGAACCAAGAGCCCTGTGACTGCCAGTGACGCAGCGAGCGCCTGGGCACTGGGGGAGAGGTCAGCCACCGCACCCCCCGACCCCGCTCTCTGCTCACTCAGCTTTCTGCCAGGGGGCTCAGGGGGCTCCCCCCCCAGGGGCTCCCGG